GAGTCGCCCCCAGCCGTGGGGGTCACATACCCACTATTAGTCACAGATACCCCAGGGGGGGCACAGATACCCCTGTCCATGGGTAACACATGCCCTGGGGGGGGGGGGGGGGGGATGCCCCCAGGGGGTCACAGTTTTCCCCCCGGGGGTGTCACATATACCGGGGGAGGGGGTGTCACAGATACCCCACTGGGGTCATAGATACCCCGTGTGATGTTACATATCTCCGGAGGGGCCACAGATGCCCCCGTGGGGGTCACATATAGCCGGGGGTGGTCACATATCCCCTTGTTGGTCACATATCCCCCTGTTGGGGTCCCCGTTGGGGTCACGGACGCCCCGGGGGGGGTCACACATCCCCCCAGAGGTGTCACATATCGCCCCATCGGGGTCCCATGTCCCCCGTTGGGGTCACGGGTGCCCCGGGCTCGCTCGCGCGGAGGGCGGAGCCCCCGCCTGTCCATCAGAGCTGGCCCCGCCCCCGCCCCGTTCATGCCGCGCGTGGTGGGCGTGGCCTCGTCGGACACATACACACGTCGCGCATGCGCCGAGGCCGGTTCCGGTGCGGCGCTTCCGGGTCGGGCCGGCGCGGCCGCGGAGCCCCCGCCATGGCCACGCTGTTCCCGTCGCTCCTGCCGCGCCTCACCGAGCCCCTCTGGTTCAACCTCGACCGCCCCTGCGTGGACGAGACCGAGCTGCAGCAGCAGGAGCAGCAGCACCAGGCCTGGGTGGGCACCAGGTGTGGGGAGCGGGTTTGGGCCTGGGGGTCCGGGGAAGCGCCCCCCGAGCGGGCACGTCCGCGGGGCATCGCGGGTGTCCGGGGCACGGGGCTAATGAACAGGCTGGTGCCGAACCGGGGCAACTGCAGAGCCCCCGTTATTTAACGGATCGTCTCCCGGGGGAGGCGAAGGCCGATCTCTGACCCCGGTAACTCACAACGCCCGCGCCGTGAGCGCGGTTCGGTGCGGCGGCGTGCCTGAGTATGGGGGGGAAGACATCTGCTTGATTAAAGTTTTTAAAAAAGCAATTTCTCGGTGATTAAGTTATTATAATTAAGTAAAACAGCTTCAGTCAATTAAAACCCCAGCACCTGGGAGAGGTTCCCAGTCCCTCTGGGTGGGAGGTCCTGCACGTTTTAATTGAGCTTTAATTATCTGCTGCGGGTGTGTTAGTCTGGCTGAACAGATGCCTCGAATTTGGTTCTTTTTTTTGATAAAAAAATAGATAAACTTAGTGTTTGAGCTTGTCATGCCACACATGGGGACACCCCCAGTCCCTTCACCCCCAGGGTGTCCTTGCTAGGGAGTGCAGGCAGCTGCTGTTCACTCGGCTGGGCACAGGCAGGGGGATCCCAATGG